TTACGTATTATCCATCTTTACAACAAAAACGTATTTTTACAAATACTTAGCTGTCAACCGAATCTGTAAGCCGAAGCATTAACATAAAAAAAATGTGCGTTTACAATTTGCTGAGAACATGTCTTGCTCACAACAAGCCAACACAAATATTGCCAATCAATATCCTGCCATTGATGTGCAATACGGTGTAAAATATGGGCCAATCGGTGCACATAATTTTGAGCCGGATAATACCAATTTGCTATGTTGGGAAAAAGAAAAGGGACAATCGTTCTTGAATTCACCAGATACAAAATATCGAGAATTACCGGCCATTTGACCTTCAATACACAGTATAATCTGCAGATCTGTGATGGCCTCTGAACGCCGTACAGTCGCAGGCCCGCGCGCGCCTGTACAGTTCTAGGCCACCCGCCAAATGCTCTTTATTTAATTAAACAACAGTGTTTTTAATTTGTATCTGGCTAATGACATTATCCCCATGTCTAGCAATTCATACACAAAGAAAAACTCAATAGACTTAAAAGCTTCAGTTTACTTAATTCAAATATGCAGGACGCACGCAAGATCACCAAAGGAACAACTGCTTGAAGCCTTAAAGTGTAACTACACCCAAGAATATTAATGGAATATACAGCATGTATTGCAGCTCACGAGTCCATAAACGTGGTGGCTACATTTGTATTTTTTATACCATCCGTAAAATCATTTTCTTGGAGTCCATTGCAGGACACAGGAAGCTCATCATCTTCAATTTTTAATTTTTTTTTTTTTTTAACCAGTGCCCAATCCTCCTGCAGGTGGCAGTATAACCAAAAGGTGGTTGTCAAGGTCCTACCTTTTCCCTGAGGTTATGTTACTCCATGACTCCATGGCGTCCATCTTGGATTTCTGCTGAGCATGGTGGGAATCCTTTATGCCAGGCATGTCCAAAGTCCGGCCCGCGGGCCATTTACGGCCCGGGGGTCTGTTTAATACGGCCCTCCAACAGCCCTCCCTGCTCTGTGTAATGTGGCACTCCCACGGCCCTCCCTTCTATGGCAGGAAGTCTTCTGCTTGAGTGCAGAGGGCAGTGCGCATGCCTGACTGCGGCGCGTTCTCCCTGGTCTGTGTAAATGCGGCTGTCGCACGGCCCTCCCTTCTGTGGCAGACAGTCTTCTGCTTGAGAGCAGTGCGCATGCGTGACTGCGCCGCACTGGGAGCGACAGAGGGCGGTGACGTCAGGGCCAGGCTTCCAGCGTGAAGTGTGTTTCTCTTCCCCTCCCGGCTGCTGAGCAGAGACTTCAGCTCCAGCTACCTTTTTCACCCTTCACATTAGTACAGGGAAGTTTTTTTTAAATTTATTTTCAATACATTGTGAAAACTCAGCTATCAGTTGATCTTAATGTTATGAAATGAAAAGTATGTCGTTTGCAATTAACTTGGCATAAAATAATTTATTTGCATTTAATTGTAATGGTTCAAAGAATGTTTGGAAAAATGTTCGGCCCTCCACCATGTTCACTTCATCCAATCTGGCCCTCTTTGAAAAAAAGTTTGGACACCCCTGCTTTATGCCTTCAGGCCTCTGAGGTCCATCCCCCAGAGGGGTGTGGCTGATGACATATAAGCCTGTGGTCCGCACATGCTCTTTGCACTTGTGTCTTTGTGTTGCTATTACTCTGTTCTGACTCTCGTGACTCTCCTGGAATCTGACTCGGCTTGTGACTCGACTATTCTTTGCGTTCTCCTTTGATCTGACCCTCTGTTGCTGAACCCGGCTCGTGACCTGTGATTCTCGTCTGCTGTCCTGTACCGTTTTGTCCTGTTGTTGTTGACCCGGCCTGCCTGACTACTCTTTTGTCTTTCCCACCAGCTATACGCCATTGGCGGCGGCCATTACCGCAACTGAGGTGTCTCGGGGGCCGCGACCTGGTTCCTGGCTGCATCAAGTCCATCCCCACCATCAGGGGCCCTGGTGAAGGGCAGCCTGGGACTTAGACTCTGCGCCCTGAGGGACTTCGGTCTGTGGGTGGTGGTTGTCGTCAGCCAGTGCGTTACATTGTTAGGCCTGCCTGTCCGTTCCTCAGCTCCTGCCCTGACAGTGGTAAACTTGCTATGCTCACTGTAAAAAAAGGGGTGCTCAACTTTTTTAAGAGGGTGGGCCACCGGTCACAACCGGTCACAAGCTACAATGAAATGATCTGGCATGGTTCACCAGTTGGAATATTGTGCAAAAAAAAAATAAATGCCCCTGATGACTAATCACGTTGGGCGGAGCGGGAAGCCGTGATATCATCACGCATGAGAGTGCACCTTATGGAATTCTGGGAAGTGTAGTTTTTTCATGCCTTTATGCACAGTGTCTATGTAAGTGTCTCTATTTAAGTTAAATAAATGCCGGATTTACAATATTGGAGCAGTCTTTTTGCCTTTTTTATGTATAATGCATCAATCCTGTTTATGTAAATGAGAGATGAGCTCCTAGGAAGGTGTGAGACATGGTGGTGACCTACTGTATCTTTGGAGTAACATACAAGCGTTTTCTGACTTCTCATTTGAGGGTCACAGTCTCTCCGGTAAGCCTCAGAGTGGTTGGCGGAGCACATGAGGTTTGGATGCACACAACATTGAATTCAAGAGGAGGATCACTTCCTTCTTTGGCACTTTCATTTTCATTCACTTGGTGGGAATCACTTATATATAGAACTTTGGACTTTATTTTTGGTCTCGATAATAGGTTCGTTTTTACTTCATGTTTTTTAGCGCTGCACTATTTGTCTCTTTACACCAGGATTATTCACATTTTTTATTAACCACATCACCATTAATCCCACTCTCGTGCTCAGGTGTGACCAGTCAAAAAAGCACAGAACCAGTGTGGCAGCCTTCACCAGGGGCCCGGGGTCAGTAGGGGGCACCATGAGATGCCCCTGGTACCTTTCATTGGCTTTTTGATAGGCTTTTTTGGGTGTGGGCGAGGACACAGGGGCCCCATGATCCCCTATTGTCCGGGGGCCCCATGAGTTGTCAGTCCACCCCTGTGTGGGACAGAGATTTATTTATTTCAGGTTCTTATATAGCGCCATCAATTTACGCAGCACTTTACATACATATTGTACATTCACATCAGTCCCTAACCCTCAAGGGGTGTACAATCTAAGGTCCCTAACTCACATTCATATACTAGGGCCAATTTAGACAGGATCCAATTCACCTACCTGCATGTCTTTGCAGTGTGCGAGGAAACCGGAGTACCCAGAGGAAACCCACAGGGAGAACTTGCAAACTCCAGGCAGGAGGTGTCGTGGCTCTGGATTCGAACCAACGACCCAGATGAATTTTTTAGCATTTGTTTGAGACAGATAAAACTTTACCACTGGGAATTTTTTGCTATATAAATGAAAAAGACCAAACATTTTGAAAAAAGTGTTTTTCTTATAAAATTTTACAAATAAATAATCTTTTTTAATCTTGGCCAAAATGTATTCATCTATCTTTTAGTAAAAAAAAAAAAAATAACCCAAATTAGTTTATAACCAAAAATTATAATTTTAAAAAAATGTTTTTACATTTTTATTTTATTTTTTAATATTATTTAACCACTTGCCGACCGCGCATAGCCGAATGACGGCTTCACCGCGGCCGGCCAGTTCTGAGTGGACGTCATATGACGTCCTCCCAGAACGCGCTCTCCTGCGCGCCCCAGGGGGCGCGCACCCGGCGATCTCCGTGATCGCTGTGTCCTACGGACACAGCTGATCACGAGATGTGGTGAAAGGCCGATCCCACCGGCCTTTTACCACGTGATCAGCGGTGTCCAATGACACGCTGATCACAGGAAAATGCAAGTGCCGGTTCTCGGCTGCACTTTCCTCACGCTGTCAGATCGTGAGGAAAGTACTGCCGAGAACCGGCAGTTGTCAGAGCGGGGATCGGCACCGATCATCAGGGCACTGATGATCAGTGCCCTGATGATCGGTGCCCAGCAGTGACCCCCGCAAGTTCCGATCAGCTGTGCGCCCACTAGCCCCGCCCACCCATTCCCAGCAGTGCCCCCACCTGTGCCCAGCAGTGCCCCCACCTGTGCCCAGCAGTGCCCCCACCTGTGCCACTCTGCAGTGCCACCTACCTGTGCCCAGCAGTGCCACCTACATGTGCCCAGCAGTGCCACCCACCTGTGCCCACCCACCTGTGCCCCACCAGCGCCACCCACCTGTGCCCACCAGCGCCACCCACCTGTGCCCACCCACCAGTGCTGTCCACCAGTGCCACCCACCAGTGCCACCCACCAGTGCTGCCAGTCAGTGCCACCAGTCAGTGCCCAGGGGTTGTGCCAGTCAGTGCCGCCAGTCAGTGCCCAGAAGTGATGCCAGTCAGTGCCGTCTATCAGTACCCATCATCAGTGTCACCTATCAGTGCCGCCTATCAGTGCTGCATATCAGTGCCGCCTATCCGTGCCACCTCATTAGTACTGCCTATCAGTGCCCTTTAGTGCTGCCTATCAGTGCCCATCAGTGCGCCTATCAGTGCCCATCAGTGCCGCCTATCAGTGCCCATCAGTGCCGCCTCATCAACGCAAATCAGTGAAGGAGAAAAAATACCTGTTTGAAAAATTTTATAAAAGAAACAAATAAACTTTTTTTTTTTTTTCAAATTTTTTGCACTTTTTTTAATTTATAGCGCAAAAAGTAAAGCGCCCAGTGGCGATTAAATACCACCAAAAGAAAGCTCTATTTGTGAGAAAAAAATGATCAAAATTTCATATGGGTACAATGTTGCATGACCGCGCAATTGTCAATCAAAGTGCGGCAGCGCTGAAAGCTGAAAATTGGCCTGGTAAGGAAGGGGGTATAAGTGCCTGATAGGCAAGTGGTTAAATATACTGTCACCCTAGTAGTACAGTGTCACCATAGTGACACTGTACTACTTGTGGGGGGGTGATGATTTTTTTTTTTACATTGATTGCTTTTAAAGGCTGTAAAAGCAATCATTTCTCTTTCTCTCTGGCTGAATTCTTGCGGCCATTGAGAAATACCGTACGAGCTGTGATTGGTCACAGCTTGTCACATGGTAAAAGGCTGTTGTGAATAGCCTTGTACCATGTGATCATTCACAGATTTCACTAGTAGTAAGCAATGATGTTAGAAGTGAAATCTTACTTATTACTATTCATGTGATCGCTGATTGACCAATCAGCGATCACATGATTGGGAGCTCACACAGAGGTCCTGTACAGCGATCGGTGTTCTGCTGTGTCCTCCACCCCAGACTGGCTCCTCCATGTCTTTATGGACCTTGCTTTGTGCACTGGTGGGCAGTCATGTTGGAACAGGAAGGGGCTATCCCCAAACTGTTCCCACAAAGTTGGGAGCATGAAATTGTTCAAAATGTCTTGGTATGCTGATGCCTTAAGAGTTCCCTTCACTGGAACTAGGGGGCCAAGCCCAACCCCAAAAAACCAACCCCACACCAGAATCTCCCCTCCTCCAAACATTACACTTGGCAAAATGCATTCAGGCAAGTACCGTTCTCCTGGCAACCGCCAAACCCAGACACGTCCCGTCCATCGGATTGCCAGACAGAGAAGCAGGACTGGTCACTCCAGAAAACACGTCTCCACTGCTCTAGAGTCCAGTGGCAGCGTGCTTTACACCACTGCATCTGCCGCTTTGCATTGCACTTGGTGATGTAAGGCTTGGATGCAGCTGCTTGGCTATGGAAACCAATTCCATGTATACAGTTGGCGACTTCTGCGCACTTCCACATGCGCTGACCCCACTCTGTCATTTTACGTGGCCTACCACTTGGTGGCTAAGTTGCTGTTGTTCTCAGTTGCTTCCACCTTGTTATAATCCCACTAACAGTTGACCGTGGAATATTTAGTAGCAAGTAAATTTTACTGATGGATTTATTGCACAGGTGACAACCTATCACGGTACCACGTTTGAATCCACTGAGCTCCTGAGAGCGACCCATTCTTTCACAAATGTTTGTAGAAGCAGTCTGCATGCCTAGGTGCTTGATTGTATACACCTGTGGCCATAGAGGGGATTGGAACACCTGAATCCAATGATTTGGAGGGCTGGCCCAATACTTTTGGCAATATAGTGTATCTTTCAAGAAGATTCAAAATAAAGGATCAGAGGAAGAAAAACATCAAGGTTAGCTTCAGACTAGCCAAAGCTCTGAAAAGTGATCTGCAGAGGATTGGTTTTCACACAGTATCTTAACACCTGCTGTCATATGTTCAGAGAAGATCCAGCCACATCCTGAATGCCTGCTTATTTTTTCTTTTCTGGCAAATGATGGTTTATAATGGGGCTAATGCACCACAACAGCACGTCAAGCATTTGTCTCGCGGATGCAGTGCAGCTCTATTGACTTTGATGGCCAAGTCTAGCAGGTAGTGTTGCCCGTCAACTCAGCATGTCGCATTAAATTTGCCGGAATAAACCAGCAATGTAACTAGTAGAAGGAAAACCTGTAGGGTACTTTTACTTAACACCACATTCACACTTCAGACAGCAGGAATTCCCATTCCCGCTCACAATTTTTTATGCACGGTTTTTGGGCATTTCTGCACATCATGTACAGGGCAGCCCATTCGCTTGATGCACCAAAGAAGCTCATGTGCCAAAGGCAGGTGCATTTAGCCACGTGACAAAACACAGCAAAATCTTACAGCTTTTGGGGTGCCATTATACAAAGGAACGCAAGCATGTCATGCATTTTGCCACGTTTCCTGAAAACGCGGGCAGAAACGTGCGATTTTTCATAGCGCCATAATGTGAATTCAGCCTTACTGGCTTCAGCATACACCGAAACACAAACTATCTTCAGGGTCTCAGAGGCGTGCACGATAAGTGACAAAAGGGCCACATGCAGATCCATGGCCACAGTTTGGGGACCAGGATGTCAACTTTCGATATATTTCATTATACAAACATTATAGCAGTGAAAGTGCAGAAAATGTGACATTTATGGTGCAGCGGATCACGTCTGCGGGATGGGATATTTCCAAAGTCGAATTTTTTTTAATGCTATTCTTATGACTTTGGAATGTCCCTGGAATGCGAAGGCAGTTGGATACAATGTCAATTCGCTGAAAAATCCCCCATCTTCTAGTTAGTGATTCAAGTACATGTGAAATGTAGATGTTCTAAAGAAAGAAGAAAAAAAAAAAAAAAAAAAAGAAGAAATTCCATTTTGACCAGAGAAATGTAGGATTGGCAGAGGCAGGACGTTGCAACAGAACAGCGTTGTGAGCATCTGTCAGACATCTGTACCGGGGGCTGAAACAAGCTACATATCAGGCACATGACGGCTGTAAGCGATCACGTGACTGATCATACATGCCGAGTCTCTTCCTATCACTGGTGTCGTCTCCCTCGGGCATATGGAGGATTGACAGCATTTAAAGCCCAACTCTGAGCAGAATAAAAATGATCACACAGTCCCACTGCAAAAGGTAATAGCTTTGTCCAGGGGAGAGGAGAAACAGTTATACTGATCTGATCCTCTGCTCCCCCTGGCAAGTGGTACTCCCCCAGGCTCCGGCAGTGGACCGTCCCTGGGCATCCTCATGTCAAGAGCAGAGCTATGCACTCTGCTCTGGTCTTGATGACATTGGGACCCTAGATCACGGAAATGCAGACGCTGCAGGGACCGCACAAGTGGCAGGGAAGATCAGGTAACTATATCTCATTTTGTTGTTCCCCCTAGACATCAATGAGCAATTAACCCTTGCAGTGTGTGCACAGCCCAACTACAAGGGATAAGGCTTTATATGCCTGGAGTGGAGAATAGGTAGGTACACCAAAAAGTAAGTAGGAACACCTAAAGAAACCCTCATAACCACCCCATGTCTATTAGGAAAAACATACCAAATAGGTACTCGTACAACAAGTGTCAGTGCTGGCTAAAAATATGTAAGATATAATGGTTAAAAGCGATATAAGCGGGCCATACACAGAAAACATTCTGGCTAATTCCAGCAAATTCTCAACCAATCAGATGCAGACACTGTGTGGGCATTCTGACAGCCACAGGTGCTGGCTGTCTGAATGCAATTGCCGACAACACAGATTCCCCTGCCTTCATGAAATCTTAAAGAGTAACTCCACTTTTGTTGAGAAAAAAAAAAAAAAAAAAAAAAAAAACCAAAACACATTCCCCACTGGGTGATCGATGTACGTTGCAAGGATTTTAACAAACTTTGTTGCAGATTGCTACCTTTTGTTATTCTGCTGCACCTACAGGGCTCTAATGAAGAATGTGTTAGGGTCTGCATCCCTTTAGACATGATTTCCCTTTGGAAGTATATCCCCAAAAATTACATTTTTGTTGCAGGGGATGCCAAAAATTGTAGTGTAGACTTCTAAGAAAATCAATGAGCCAATCACTCAAGCAGGAAATGACATTTTCAGGAGGCTCTCTCTATATCATCTGTGTACAGAACCCCAGGTGGCCATATTGCGTTCTTACAGAAAGTTCAACATTGCAGATTAAAAAGGAAAGGTAATTTTTAACAACATTCAATTACAATATGACATAACAATATGACTTGAGTTGCAATTGTACATGATATATATATATATACATACACACACACACACACATATACACACACACACTCTCTCTCTCTATATCGGCAAAAGTATTGGGCCAGCCCTCCAAATCATTGGATTCAGGTGTTCCAATCCCCTCCATGGCCACAAGTGTATAAAAGCCCCTAGGCATGCAGACTGCTTCTACAAACATTTGTGAAAGAATGGGTCGCTCTCAGGAGCTCAGTGACTCCAAGCGTGGTACCGTGATAGGTTGTCACCTGTACAATAAATCCATCCATGAAATTTCTTTGCTACTAAATATTCCACAGTCAACTGTTAGTGGGATTATAACAAAGTGGAAGCAACTGGGAACAACATCAACTCAGCCACCAAGTGGTAGGCCACGTCACATGACAGAGCGGGGTCAGCGCATGCTGAAGTGCACAGTGCGCAGAAGTCGCTAACTGTCTGCAGAGTCAATAGCTAAAGACCTTAAAACTTTATATGGCCTTCAGATTAGCACAACAACAGTGTGTAGAGAGCTTCATAGAATGGGTTTCCATGGCTGAGCAGCTGCATCCAAACCTTACATCACCAAGTGCAATGCAAAGCGTTGGATGCCGTAGTGTAAAGCACGCCGCCACTGGACTCTAGAGCAGTGGAAATGTGTTCTCTGGAGTGAAGAATCACGCTTCTATGTCTGGCAATCTGATAGAAATGTCTGGGTTTGGCGGTTGCCAGGAGAACAGTACTTGCCTGACTGCATTGCGGCAAGTGTAAAGTTTGGTGGAGGGGGGATTATGGTGTTGGGGTTGTTTTTCAGGGGTTGGGCTTGGCGACCTAGTTCCAGTGAAGGGAACTCTTAAGGCATCAGCATACCAAGACATTTTGGACAATTTCATGCTCCCAACTTTGTGGGAACAGTTTGGGGATGGCCCCTTCTTGTTCCAACATGACTGCACACCAGTGCACAAAGCAAGGTCCATAAAGACATGGATGAGCGAGTTTAGGTTGGAGGAGCAGAGACTGCGACCCAGGCCTCCTCCTCCATCAGTGCCTGACCTCACAAATTCGCTTCTGGAAGAATGGTCAAACATTCCCATAGACACCCTCCTAAACCTTGTGGACGGCCTTCCCAGAAGAGTTGAAGTGTTATAGCTGCAAATGGTGGGAGAACTCAATATTGAACCCTACAGACTAAGACTGGGATGTCATTAAAGCTCATGTGCATGTAAATGCAGGCATCACAATTATTTTGGCAATAGTGTGTGTGTGTGTGTATATTTTTTTTCCTTTGTCAGTTTTTTTCACCATAAAAGTGGAGTTACACTTCAGCAGCAGTAGACATCATTGGAGTAGGGATGTCTGCTTCAGTGATTTTCAACGGTATTTCCAGAATGGTGTATATTGGCCAGCTGGATCATGAACTATGTAATTTATCTTTAAAGTATATACAGATTGTAAGCCTCGAAAGAGCAGGGCCCTCGAACCTCTCGTGTATGGTCTTGTTCCTGTATTGTCTCATGTTCTGTCCCCCACTATAATGTACAGCGCTGAGCAAACCCTTTGGCACTATATAAATACTTTATAATGATAATAACACCACTTAAAGTGTTACTAAACACCGGACCCTGCATTCACTATATCTGGTCTCCCACAGTACACAGAAAATGCTATTATTTTAGTAAATATAAACTGCTAAATACCTTTTCTCATCAGCAGTTAGTGCAGTCTTGTGACTTCTATCAGTGTCCAGCAGAGCACTGGTTAAAGATTATAGGTGGTGTTTTCATTCTCCTAGATTGTAATCTTCAAGGATCAGGCCCTCCTTTCCCTCTTGTATTGAACTGTATTGTTGCTGTATTGTCTCCCGTTATATTGTAAAGCGCTGAGCAAACTGTTGGCGCTATATAAATCCTGTATAATAATAATAATTCTCCAGTGATTGTCCTATGAGGCTGCATAACACCTGACCCTCTGGACAGTGCTAACTGGCCCTGTACTGCACTCCCAAGAAAAAAAAAAATGCTCCAGCAATACACATCAAACTGAGCATGGGCAGCTTGCCCCCAAGGCTCTGTTCTATCAGCAGATGGATTGGGGACAATTTAAGGGGAAGATCAGTGAAGACAGGATCAAATATCCTTTTTAACAATGTAAAGGATTAACCCCTTAGGTTCCACAGTGAGTATAACAAGCATGTTCTACTGCATATACAGACTGAATTACGGTTTGGATTTAATAACACTTTATATTTCAATGGTTTTTATTACTTTTAAGCAGTATAAAACAGAGGCAAAAAAACACGCCCCCACAGGGGCTATCAATTGCACCGATAAGAAAAAACATAATAGAGAAACAGTGCTCTAACTCCAACAAGGCAGAAGGTACGCCCACGCAGGGGCTATCAATGGCACATAAGTTACAACATTAATGAAACTCTGACTATAACAACTAAAG